GGCAGTGAATGCTGCACGGTTCCCCTTTAGGTGCAGGTCGCTGCGGGCAAGGCTGGTTGGCGGTGCTGGGGTCATGACCCTTGACCTTCCAGGCAGTGGCAGGAGAGCCCAGGGCTGCTGGCTGTGGGCCGGGCTCTCCCCTGAGGTGGGGGTCACACGGGGGTGAGTTGCCGAGCGTCCACTGCACTGTGGGCTCCGTCTGAGGTGTGTTATACTTTCACAGGAAGTGGACTGAAGGAATAGAAAGGTGTGAAAGTTCTGGATCTACCCACCAGAATGTGCAGAGTATTCAGCTTATTCAGAGAAAGCCGAATGGGAAGAATCAGTCATACCTTCCCAGAGATAGATGCGCTCTCCACAGTGGGAAGAGATGTTTTTACTGAACCAGTTCATTACAGAATAAGATCAAGTTTTAGCTTTTGAAAAAGACAAAAACATACACAACATGGAGATTAGCTTTACTGCACAGGTCCAGCCAGAGGAGGTGTGTCTTCAACAAAGACGTATATTTTTAAAGTAAGGATTAGGAGGCTCTTTTCAAACTTAGTTGTGGGCCACAATTTAAAGTTCGACCATCTATAGATTCGTGTCTATAATAACATACATCAAATCGTAAGATTCTCCCAAGAAGGATGAGCTCCACTGTTCGCCAGGCCTGGTGCTTGGGAAGGGAGGGAGGGAGCGCGTCCAGCTGGCTGGCTGGTCATGGAGCCCTGGTGGGACGCGGCCCACACAGACGCGCCAGGACAAGTGCTGAGGGGCAACAAGGACCAGAGAACCAGTTGTACGGAGAAAGGCCGATGGCCCTAGTCACCCCAGGGGACGGTGCAGGCTGGCTGTGCAGGGGCGCGCTGTGCCACCAGCTCCTCTACCCGCCACGACTCAATCCTGGCACGTTGTTTGCTGTGAAATTCTTCCACTTAATAGTTTCAGTATCGCCACAGCTCTTGTTCTTCTTTGATTTTGGTTTTGTTTCTTTCCCTTTTCCAGAGATTTCAGTAACAGCTGGTGCCTTTGAAACCAAGTCCTTTCCATTGTTTGCTGGCCCCCGGGTCCATGAACGTATCAGTAATCTGTGACGGGCGGTGTCTGCACCGTTTCTCTCCGAAAGGTACCAAGTTGTCCTCAGTGCTGGGGAGTTGGAGGCAGCTGTGTCCCCCGTCACTACGCAGCATCGTAATCTGGGAGCAGTTGCTGTGTGATCAGGCTAGAACCTGGGGGGGTGGCTTCTGCCCTCATGGCCTCCCCGAGGAACGCCGGGCAGCACCCCCCCTCCATCTCCCGCCTCTGAGGGCCAGTGTCGAAGGGTGCCTGGTCTTGCCTGGTTCATGGAGGTCCACACCCAGTCAGCCATCCACCTGCTTCCTCCTGAGCCTGGTGTCGCCTGCCCTCGGAGCCGGCAAACACAGCAGGGCTTTGTACCTTCCCAGCTGTGTTGTTGGCCTCGGGGTCCGTGGTGACCGCCCCCCCACACACCTGCCCAGCCCACTCAGATGGAGACCTGAGCCCAGCCATAGCCCTGGGGCCACTGCCTACATCCTGAGGGGGGAGCCTGAGGGACAGGCAGGAAGGGAGGGCGGCCGTGAGGACAGGTGGGCGATTGTTACCTTTATCACACTGCCATTAATTACGGTGATTACTCCCCCATCGTCCAGGGCACAGGCAGGGCCGGCCTGTCCTGCGGCCCCACCCTGCGCAGGGTTTGCTTTCAGATAAGTCTGCATGCACAGCAAGCACCTGTATTAATCATTGTCAGCTCCCGAGGCGCGCAGGCCCACGCTGCTCGGCCATCCTTAGTGCAGTGGCCGCAGCAGCGCCTCCTTCGCGGCTCGCACTTGGCGCCTCAGCTCGTAGGGAGGACGGATAAGGTGGCGCCCGGCTCCCCTCCTTCCCCGGGCCCATGCTGGCCTTCCCCAGACCTGTCCGGGCCAGCACTGCTTCGTCTGCTCCTTGCCTGGTCCTGGGAGCGGCTGGGCCCCTTCCCGGGTGTTGGGTGCACGGGGAGCACCCCTGGGCTTTGGGGGTGAGGGCGCTGCCCCCCCACAGCCCCTGCCCACCCCCGCTAGGGCAGCCGTCAGGACCAGCTTCTTTCTCCTGTTGAATTGCCTGTGGACACGCCTGTGGCAGCACAAAGGGGCTAGGGCCACGAGGGACCCCCAGGACTCCTTCTGGGCACACAGGTTGAGGGCTGGCCCGGAAGCTTGCCAGCACTCTGGCGCCTCGTGGCTCTGCTCCGTTTCTCCACACCAGAGCCACTGTCCGAGCGGCGACCCCGTCAGATCCGGGGCCGTGGATGGACAGAGGCAGACGCGGTGCTCCCAACACTTCCTCCGCATGCAAGGGAGCATCGCTTAGACTTACTTAAAAGTCACCTTTTGTGTACTTTCCACCCCAGGACCCCCAGAATTTACACTGAACTTGGGCCCTGGGGCACGTTCCCCGCAGGGATCTGTGGGTGTCGTGGTACAGCCTCAGACGGGACCCCCAGACCGGCAGGCACTCGGGGGGCAGTCTCTGCAGTAGCAACAGTGTCCTAGGCGTAACTGAGTATCAGACGGCGGGTATGAAGCACGTGGACTTCAGTCCTGTGTCCGGCCGGATCACGTCTCTGAGTGGTGCTTTTAAGCCGGGCCTCCTACGCCTCCTGTGGAGCCGTGTGCAGTTGCGTGCCTGCCCCTCCTCTGAGGTCACCCAGAGGGGAGCAGCTGGGGCTAGGGGATGTGGTGGAATGCTCGAGAATCGGCAGGAAGCGCCTGACTCACAGCATCAGGCACAGAGAGCCGCCAGACAGTGCTCCCTTTAAAGTGTAGCTGCTTCCTGCCGGGTGGGGGAAGCAGGTGGTGGACCTCGCCTCACAGATACCTGCCAGGTCGGCCACAGATTCCTGCTGGATACACTTGTCCTGTCGCCGCTCGTAGCAAAGAACCTTGTGCCCCAGCACAACGCCCACAGAAAGGGAAAATTACACCTGGGCACTGACGAGCTCCCCATGGGCTCAGAGCCTGGAGGACCTTCTGAGCCGTGGCCACAGGCCTGCCAGCCAGCCTCACCCCTGACCTTTGCCCCCAGCCGGGGGCTTGCTCTGAAGTGACTCAGCACATTGTCCTTTGGAAACTTGGGGTAGACCGGTGTGGACCCCTGATTGCCGCAGTAGCCAGGTGACGCGTTCCCCGAGGAGGGCCATGTGGCCTGTGGGTCCCACTGCATGGAGCCCGTCCCCCGTGTCCCCTGGGCACCCAGATTAGATGCTGTGTGTGAGGCAAGGCAGGTCCTAGCTGGGCAGATGTCCGTCTCTCATGGTCACAGTTGAGTTTAACTGGGAAGGCCCTGAAGGAGGAGCCCTGGCACTCGGTGTCGGGAGACGGGCCGGCCATTGGCTCGCCACTTCTCCTGAGAAGAAGTCTGCAGGGTGTTGGTGCTCTCTGCTCTTTAAAAGGGCGATGCGGTGAGAAGCAGGGCGAGCCAGGTTTGCTTTTAACCGTAGTTGCTGCTTTGGGTCTTTAACCAAGTAAAGCAGTAGTTCCCTGCGGGGGCCAAGGTCACAGTCGAGTTTCCTATGAGAGTGTGGGACCCCGTGGGAGGACGGAGAAGGCTGGACCGTCGGCTTGGGCAGTCGTGACCTGTGGGTCTGACCGCCTCCTAGATGCTTGAGGCTCAGAGTGACGTGGGTCTGAGGCCAGACCGGAGTCCCCACCTGACCAGGTGCTGCGACAGGAGCAGCCCCCAGAGCCAGTCGCGTTCTTCTCTTCCCGCTGAAAGGAGCAGAGAAATTTAACAGAGAACATGGTGCCCTTCACAGCAAATTCCATTAACCTAAGAAAACACATTCGTCTTTACAAGGGAAATTTGTAGACTCTACTGAAGGCCATACAAGACGCACCACAGATCAGCAGACACACCACGTCTGTGGGTACACACCTGCCACAGCCAAGGCCCTCCCCAAGCAGGCTCATTCTGAACCGAGTTCATTTACTTTGGTGCAGTTCCCGTCAAAGTGCCCACTGGGGTGGGGTCAGCATTTGTGAGTGGACGGGGGTAGGCCCACCGCGCAGCATAGAACTCGGAGGCAGGGCTGTTCTGGTGAGTCCTGGGGACAGGAGGAAGCCGCCCGCAGGCAGAGGAACATGCGGGGCCTCAGCCAGGCCGCCATGGACAAGTGGCCGATGTCTGAGGCACAGCCAGCCAGGCCCCTAGGACGATGGGGGCGTGCTCAGCTGGCGCTCCGAGGCCGAACCTTGGGGCTGGCAGCACCCCCACTTGCTTCTCGCCCACGTTTGCACTACTTGCTGGCCCGTCGTCGGCCGTGGTGCCTCCAGTCCCGGGGGGCCCTAGGCCTCCCGGTGGCCAAGCGGGGGCAGTGGGCGGGAAGGGCAGCGAGTCAGGGACAGTCACATGCTGCGCCACAGTGATGACCCCAAGGCCATGGCCTGGCACCTGGCATCTCCTGAGATGGGGACACTGCAGGGGGAGCAGGCTGTGGGGACAAGTCTGTGGCCAAGTTGGGCCCCAGCTGTCCGTCGGCTGCCTCGGGGAGTGCAAGGTGTCCCGGCTGGAGCCCCCAGTGAAGGCACCTGCATTTAGAGGCATTTCACGGGATTAGACGGCCGAGTTGCTGGGGTGCAGGTGGGAAGGAGGACCCCGCTGAGCTGGGCACGTCTGCGTCACGGGGGTCAGGGAGCAGGGGGTCATTTCTCCCCTGCAGGTTTGTGCTGTAGACCATGTCCAAAAATAAAGCCAAAGTTTAGTAGACGATTCACTTCTTTAAGGAATGGTTTATCTGAAGATACTGTGCTAGAACTACAATGCAAGTGAAAACTTAAATTGTGAGTTTGACTTCACATTCTAGAAACTTCTGTATGTGTATTCTTCCCCTGGAGAGGGTTGTCTATGCTCAGGTGAGTGGGCAAAGAATCTGCACAGCCCTCCCTCGGGAGGAGGAGGGGCTGGAGGAGGGGCTGGAGCCAGGCAGCGCTGACCGAGCCTGTGTCCTGTCTCCCCAGCTACCCGTACAGCGAGGACTGCAGCCAGGGCCAGCAGTACATGAACACCCGGTGCCCCGCCTGGTGCGACCGTGTCCTCATGTCCCCATCTGCCAAGGAGCTGATTCTGAGGGTAAGTGCGGGAGCCCCCAGTGCCGCCCACTGTGGCCCCGGGACGGGCCCCTCAGAGGGACCCAGGGCAACAGCCCAGGTGGGGAGCTGCTGGGTCTGGAGTGCCTGTCTTGCTGTGGGCCTGGTGTAAGCCCTGACCCGTCCCGTGACGGCCCTTGGTCACTCTGGAGCCAGTGCGCAGGCTTGCAGGGTCTGCAGACGGAGCTGGGTCTCTAGCCCCTGTGAGCGTGTGGTATCTTTCTGGTCGTCAGTTAGAGCTTTAAAAATCGTTATAGTTTACTATATTCTCGGGGATTAAGTGCGCTCCTGTCTACAGAGGAGCTTGTGAGCTGGGCAGTGTGGTCGAGACGTCTGTCGTGACCTTCTGAAACTGTAGATCAGCCAGGTTCACACTGGGCCTGACCCGTTAGAATGAACGGGCGACGTTCAGGAGACGGTCCAGTGCGCTGGGTGTCAGAATGTTCAGGTTTCCTGTGGCCTCTTGATTTTCCAGGGTTTTTCAGTGCCCACATTTTAACAAAAAAGGAGTGTTTTTCAAAAGAATCAATATCTGAATTGGTTTTCTCAACTCCATTTGTGAAAAAATATGATAATGAAGGTCATCGATTCGTCAGACAGCAGCCTGATGTTCAGGGCTCAGAGTAGACGGGCCCAACGTGACGTGGGTGGCAGTCAGGAGGGGCAGGAGGCGCTGGCGACCCCACCGCAGGGCTGGGCTGGAGCACCAGGCCCTCCCCCGACCTCAATGCATCTGTTTTAGGTCCCAGTGGCCCCCTCCGTGGCCCCTTCAACTACACCAAGGGACCCTGTCTGTGCCCCTGTGCCAGACCCTGGGCCCTCACCCAGGGACGTGGGGCACATGGGGGCAAGAGGGGTGACAGCCAGAGGGCTGAGCCCCCAGGAGCTGCTCCAGCTGCACACCACGCCCGTCCCCCTGCTCAGTGGGCCCCTGCAGCTCCCCGCTGAGAGGCGCTACTGGCCTTTGCATTGAGGGCCGGCCTCAGTGCTCTTCCCTGAGCCCGAGCACCCCGGTGTGCGGGGAGGCAGCCTGCAGGGGGGCTTGGCTGGAGGCAGGGGCTGGCGGGGACTGCTGCAGCTTGCTCTGACAGGCCAGCCACGGCAGTCCTCTCCTGGCCTGTGGGCAGGGCCTGCACCCGGGTGGCTGTGACACCCTCATGCTCAGGGCCCATCACCGAGGACAGCCACTTGGGCCCCTTCCCCTCGAGGCCTTGCTGAGTGAAGCTGCATCAGACGTTGGCTTAAGCGCACAGACCGGAGAGGAGCCTGCCTGGCACCTGGCCTAGGACACAGCCCTGCCCTCTCTGCTGGGCCTGCTGATCAGCACCCAGGAGATGACCATGGGAGGAATGAGATGAGTGGACAGTACGGTCGCACGCCTGCCAGCTCTGAGCACGTGGGATGAGCTTGGTGCAGGGCCGCCGGCCAGATCGGGCACCTCCGGGGGCCTCGGGGTACAGAGAAGAGAAAAAGTCATCTACCAGGGAAACGTGGGAGACCCAGGAGAGTGCTCTCCGAGGTAAAGGCACGGTCAGCAGGAGTGCCGAGAATGTGGACGGAAGCTGGAACCCCACGCTGTCCCCACTGTTCACACTTGTTCACATCTTCTCTAGTTTGGAGGCCAAGATTTGATGCTTCAGACACAGTGGGGACAGAGCTGGCTGGGCAGCCAGTCAGGAGGGCCACCGCCTTCCTGGGGGTTGCTGCACTGAGAGCAGCTTCCTGGGCGTCATCCATCATGCCATGCTCGGTTACGTCGGCGTCGTTTTCCGTTCTGCTTCCCCAGCCCTAAAACGCCAGAAGTGGCGGGCGGGGGCGCTGCCAGGGCCTCGGTGATGGATGCGCGGCAAGGTGCGTGCGCCCCATGATTTGTTTGTATGTCTCACGGTCATGCAGTTGGAAATCCACCATTTTACGCTGCCTTTGTAAATTACTGCGCTGCGTTTGATGAATGTGCCGCGCTTCCGTGACGGCAGCGTGGCGACCGTGAGGGATGGGACACGCAGACTGTGCAGGAGGTTGTGTTTTCACACTTTCTGGCAGGCGACCATGCTGGAGAGTAAACCTGACCTTACGCTTCCCACTGCATCAAAGATAATTCAGTTTTAACTTTATAGTCTCAGATGCTTCAGCCGAGGATATAAAATTCCGGCCCAGTCAGAGCTGACAGATGCCAGGAACAGACTGTCACCGTCACACCCAGAAGATCAGTGTCTGTAGGCTCGCAGAGGCGGGCTGCAGAGGCAACAGTGTGCACACAGCGGTTAATTAACGTACACAGATCACTCTGTCAGCAGCGTGGAATCCAGTGGCGTCTGTTCCCATTTGAACAGGGTGTGGTGGGTTAATAGAACCAGCTGTCAAAACAAATGTAAACAGGGAGACAGAGCGAGACGCGTGGCTTCCGTCCGTCCTGGAAGAGCGAGTGCACAGGTGCGCTGCGCAGTGACACGGGCCACGCCTCCTGGGCTCAGGGGCACGTGCCAGGGGAGAGCTTGGGGGCCCACGCCGGGCTCCCCCACATCACCACCCTTCAGAGGCAGGAGCCCCCTCAGCCGGGAGAGCCAGGGGCCAAGGTGCCCAAGTGCTGCCAGGACTGCCAGAACTTTCTGTGCACCAGCCAGCCGCTCCCTCGTAGGGAGCAGGGGCACATTGGCAGCTCTCAGGCAGCCAGAGCCCTGTGGGGAAGTGGGCAGGGTGGGTGGCGGGCAGCTCATTCGCAGGGACGGTCACCTCTCTGCCCCCAAGGAAGCCCTGCTCTTCCTGCCTCCCACACCGTCCCTCTCTGTTGGCTTTTCCCAGTCGGAGAGCGAGGAGAAGGTTGTCACCTACGACCACATCGGGCCCAACGTCTGCATGGGAGACCACAAGGTGACGTAACGGGCTGCGGTGCAGGGGCTGGGCCTGGGGCTGGACAGTGGGTGAGCGGGCGGGTGGCGGGGCTGGTGGCTTCTCTGGCCTCCTCTTCTATGCCTCCTTAGTCGCTGCACAGAGTAGGCCACGTTGGTCTGTTTTTACTGAATTTTAATAAAATACCAGAAGGTAGGTAGATAGGTGGGTGGCTAGATAGATAAGAAGGCAGAAATGACTAGTCGCAATAAAATAAAATATACATTTTTACTATTTGTAAAAAAATATTGCATCAACGGCTGATTTTCTGAAGGCCATTTTTCCAGTGAAAATATTTGGAATATTTTAATGGCCTTCCTATGCCGAGCACAGTGTCCACAGTGCAGGGGAAATGTGAGTGTTAGAGAGCCAGCCCTTTGGGGAGACACCGGGTATTTCCACACGTGATGTACCAACACCAGTCATGTGGGCCCATAGGTTGTGTCTCACCTTCGGCCAAACTAGAGATGGCCACCATTTTCAAGGCCTCTGGGCTGAGACCACTGGACGCATCACCCTAAGGCGGGTCCCTCACAGGTGCCCAGCAGGAGCAGCCCCGGGGACTGGCGTTCTGTCCTCCATGGTATCTGGGGCTTATTCTGCTGTCCTTTAAGTCAGTTTTCACGTTCGTTTTTATCTGGAAATTATTCTCTCTCCACAAAACATGGAGGCCCTTTGCCTTGGGCCTGTGGTGGCCCAGCCAGGCTTCAGTCCCGTTAACCGAGCTCTCACGCTGGTGCCCCGAGCACATGACAGGGTGACGGCCTTGGCCCGTGCTGACCGTGGACTCCGCCGGCTGCGGTTCAGGCAGCCCCACGAACGTGAGGGAGTGAGGCTGGTGGTACTCACCACATCGGTCCTGACACCCTGCTCTTGTCCCCAACGCAGCCCGTGTTCCTGGCCTTCCGAATTGCGCCCGGGGCAGGTAAACCTCACGCACATGTGCACAAGTGTTGTGTCGTGCAGTGACGCGGTGGTAAATATGACCCTTCCCTCCAGTTCACCTTTTCTGAGCTTTTTCTGGTGTGTTTGTTCCTTTAACAAATGACTGATTCCACGGCAGGGAGGAGATGCCCGCGGCACAGGAGGGCCCTCCACGTGACCTGCCTGTAGCCGAGGGGCACACAGAAGTCGAAGTCGAAGTCTATTGAAACCACACTCTTACAGCTGCATCGAGAAACCCGCCTGAGCGCCACCCACTAGACGGCCGGCCCCACACTTCCGCTTCAGCCTCCGGAGGGTTCCGGAAAAGCCTCACATACCTCACTGTCTTGTCTGTTCATGTGACATTAAGTAGAAATATTGGGTTTTTTAAATAAGTCACAATCCTGTTGCCAAAACTCTAATAGACAGCAAAGAGATTCTGTATTTTAGACTTCACAGTTTTCAACTTTTAATAATTGTCGGTGTGGAGGAGCTTCCCAGCGTAGAAACCCCACAAGTGTCCAGCGTCCCCTCTGTCAGCTGGAGGGGTGGCCCGGGGGGGAGACGGGCGGGCTCTTTGCTGTCTCAGGCGGTGTGGCCACGTTAGCAGAGCGCGGGGCCCTCCTCGGCACTGGGATGGCCCCTCCTTAGTTACTGTGCTGCCATGTCACATGGCCTCTGAATCACACTGCAGCTGCTTTCCATTTCTACATATATATAAATATATACTTTTTGAAAATAATTTATAAATCTTACCAAAACTTATGCTAAGTATACTTTCCAGTGTGAATGCCCGTGCGCGTCCTGTCCACAGGTAGGAGTGGCGTCTGGGAGCTGCGTGTCCGTCCTCAGATCTGTGCACCCGGCAAGACCCCGCAGGGCTGTCCCTTGGAGGACCGGCCGCAGCACGGCCACGAGCAGCTATCCTCCTGACTCTCCTCTGTAACATTGAGAACTGAATGTGAAGTTGATAGTAGCTCGGGTGTACCTTTTAAGAATTTTGTAAACCGTTGTGTCTGTCTTTTGTTACTGTTCTATGGTGCCAAGTATTCTACATAAAACAATAATATCATGGGAGAAATAGAGTAGCCTAGTCTGCTTCCGATAGAAATTGCTTTTAACGTGGGCTGTATATAAAACATTGAGAAACAAAACTGTAAATGTCCTTGGTTCCAGCTGCAAACACCTGTGTCACAGCCTTGCTGCAGTATCTCCTGTTAGCACTAAGTACGGCATTGAAAGGCCATCGCAGAGCCTGTGGATGAAACACAACCATGTTTATTGGTTTGCTTTAGAACACTACAGAAGTCCTGGACGGCGAGGCCTCGGGTAGATGAATCACTACCACTGCTGGTGACGGGTGTCCGCTTGCCGAGTCTGTTCTTGACAGTACGATGGGGTCCGTGTCCGTGCTGTGGTCACTGCTCTGTCCATAGGCCACGCGGCAGTCTGCCCCATGGCGATCTGTTTAACGGGGTTTCAGCTGTCGGTCACTGTGGAGGCCTTTAAAAATGACCGCTCCGGTTCCTAAGCAATAAAATTGATCGTGGTGACAACAGCTCTGGTCTGCTTTCTGTCCCTTCCTTCGTTCCCCGTCCCCTCTGACATGCTAAGTGACAGCAGTGTGCTGCCGTGCCTATTTCACATCAGGCTCCTTGGAAATCCTGGAGTTTCATCCTATCAGATATTCAACTAAGCCATTAGTTGAAGCAGAAGAATCACCTTTTGGATTTTTTACTGTAGGGTAACTAATGGGATTTACCCCTCAGCATTTTTAAATGAGATTAAATACACTGCTTTCCTCAAAACTTGAAAACTGGAAATTCCTTTGCTCTTAACTTGAGCAGAATGAATAGTTCACTCACAGAAATGAAACAGATTTTCATATTGCTTCCTTAAAAAGAAAACCAGCCAGGGGTTCAGTTGTTTAAATTGATGATGCAGCCATGTGGTAAAAAACCCAACAAAATACTTCAGCCTTTTACATTTCTCTTGAACTTTTCAAAAATGCCTTCCAAGAGACATCTTATAGTGACATAATCATTTAGTTTGTTAAAAGTTACACCCATTAAGATGCAACCACGGGGAGCCTCAGCCACGGAGTCGGGGACAGACCTGGTGGTCTGCTGTGACCAGAACAGAGTCCGCCATGTGGCCAACCGGAACCGCAGCCCTGGGTTCACGGGGCGAAAACGGCCAGAGCGGGGGCGTCCCGGAGTCCGTGGTCAGGGCTGCGGCAGGGCGCCCGGGCCCGGTCCTCACGGATCCCGGGTCCCCGCGCGTCGGACCGGCTTCCCCAAGCCCCCGGCTGCGCCGAGCCCAGCGGGGAGAATTACTCTGAATTTTTCTGAGTCCCAAGTAAATTAAATAGCGCTTTCTACCGATGAAAAATCAATAAATTGGTAGCTGAAGGGCAGCTGGACTTAAAACCTAGTTTATTTCACCCGACGGGAGCGTTTTCACATCTATAACCGGGTCAGAACCCGCCCCACCCGGGCCGCGGGAAAGGGAACCACACGGGGACGGGGGGGCGGCCCGCCTGCCAGATCGGGGCCCGAATGCGCTTCAGTCTGCCCCAAAACCCCTCCGCTGAGCGGGCGCCGCGGCACTCGGTCCGGCTGCCCGAGTCTGGGGCCGCGGGAGGCGCCCAAACCCAAGGTGAAAGGTGAAGGGGGGGCCGTACCTGCTGCCGCGCGTCGCACCTGCCGGCGCCCCGCTCCGTCCCCGCCGTCAGGCTCCTCCCCGCGCGGCTGCCGCTGTGTCCTCGCTCCTGCGCCGCCGCCCAAGCCGCGGGGACACGGGGTGAGGCCATCGCGACCGCCGCCGCCGAGCCCGACCCAGGCGACCCTCGGGCCGAAGGCACAGGCCACGCGGGGACGAAGACTGGACCGGGGACCAGGGAGTGGGGACGGGGACAAGGGACCGGGGGCGAGAACAGGGACAAGGGACCAGGGACTGGGACAGGGGACCGGGGACGGGCCCCACCCCACCTCTCGCCGCCGAGCCGCGCAGGGCGCCTCGCCGGGTTTTCGGTAAGAGACACGTGGTGCAGCCTCGGGGCCCGCGGCTCCGACGGGACGTGTTAAATAATTTATTGATCATACAAAGTGATTCCGCCGGCCCTGCGCGAGCCCGGCCGGCCGCCGCATAACTTATTCTGTAAAAATATATATACACGCTCCGCTCGGGCACGGGCGCGGGCAGGTGCGAACCCGGGGCTCGGCCGCGTCCTCACGAGGCGTCCCCCGCGCCGCCGCCGCACGGGCTGACCAGCGCCAAGTTCGAGGGTTTGTGCTTCTTGAGCAGCCGCGTGATCTTCTCGTCGTCCGAGTTGGGGTCCAGGGGCCGGTTGTATTCGTCGTCCTCCTCCGCGTCCGAGCCGCCCACTTTCAGCTTCTCGGCATCCGAGTCCTGCTTCTTCTTGGCCGACGCCATCTCCGCCGCGTGCCGCTTGCGCCACTTGGTCCGGCGGTTCTGGAACCACACCTGGGGCGGAGAGTGACCGTCAGCCGGCGCCTTTCGCAGCGCCCAGCCCGCTGCAACGCGGCCTCTCGGCGGCCCCGGGCCGAGATCCCGCAGCCCGCGTGGACGCCCGCGGGCAGCACCTCGGCCCCGGGCGCAGAGCAGCGGCGCCTCCAGGGCGGAGGCCGAGGCTGGCGGCCGCTCGCGGACCGTTCGCAGGACGCGGGGGCCGGGTCTGCTGGGCACGGCGGGGCCGCAGAGCCGCCTCACCTTGACTTGGCTCTCGGTCATGCCCAGAGAGTAGGCAAGGCGCGCGCGCTCCGGCCCCGCCAGGTACTTGGTCTGCTCGAAGGTCTTCTCCAGCGCGAAGATCTGCTGGCCCGAGAAGGTCGGCCGCGAGTGCTTCTTCTTGCCGTCCTTGTCCAGGACCCCGCCGGCCTGGGCTGCAAGGAAGGGCAGGTGAGCGCTGCCGGCGGCCCAACCGCCCCACGCTAGACCCCGCGCGCGCCACTTACCCGGGCCGGCCAAGCGCGGGTCCCTCCAGGGCGAGCCCTGCACCACGCCGGGCCAGAAGATAGGCGGGCGCCCGGGCAGCTCGGCCAGCGGCTTTGGATAGCCGCGCGCCACGGCGGCCGCGGGCCCGAAGTAGACGCCGGCGGACGAGGCGAGCCCGTTGAGACGAGGCAGGCCGCCCAGGAGCCCGCCGCCCGCCGCGCCCACGGGCCGCCCCAGGATGTCGCTGATGCCGTGCGGGGTACCGAGCGGCAGTTGCGCGCCCAGGCCGCCCAGCGCGGGCGCCTTGAAGCCGGCCGGGCCCTGCAGCGCATACGGAAACAGCGACGTCTTCATCTCGGCCATGTTGTGCAGCGCGGCCAGCGGCGCGCTGCTCAGCACGAACGCGCCCGGGCGGTTAGCGTCCATGGGCGCCGCCGCCGCCGCCGCCGGCCCCAGTGCCCATCCGGGCCC